ATAATTGAGTCAGGAATTATGATAAGTCATTATGGTCATAAGTCAAAACATCATGTGACCAGACCCAATTTTTTTCCTCCTTTTTTTACGGCGTTTATTAGGGTAATTAATTTTCATCATTGAATCGTTTGTTGCTGGAAATCAGAAGTAAACTTTGGAAACGTAGCAAAGAAACATTGCAAACTGTGATCCTGTGACCACAGGATCTTGCAAATGGTTGTAATGGTGAGCTGGTTGCCGATCACCCAAAATGTAATCCCGAAACAAGGTTTAATATCTGTGTGATTTGCTGAACAATCACGTTGATCTGCTTAACAAACTGCCCTAAAAATGGTAAAATCAAGGCCAACCAAGCAACAACCTATGGCATAAAGTCTAATTCCCAATAACGGTTGTAAGTCAAGGACTACCTGCAAACTGTTAGAAGGGGCAAAAAATGATACCCAAAAAACGAAGGACCGCGTGACTTTCCACACAAAATGCTTTGCAGACACATGGTGGAGGGGAAACTGAAGTAGCTTCTGAAAGTGGAATCCTAGATTGCTCTGTCAGAAGGTGCTAGAAAACAAGGCAAGCACAGAAAAGCATCCGAGGCAGAAAAGACAGACAGACACACACACACGTGTTCATACCTGTCCTCTGGATGCCAATCGCAACAGAACACAGGTCCGTTGTGGGCCGTGAACATCCTCTCATAGCGGTCAGGCCGGCGGATATCCCACAGTTGAACATTGCCGTTTTCAAAGGTGGCAGCAAAGGTGAAGTAGTCGCGGATACTAAACTGGACGTCACGCACGCTCTCCGACTGACCTGAAGGAGGCAGAAAGCACACATGGGGTTGATCTTCTACTTCAGGGCTCTCCAAACTTGGCCACTTTAAGACTTGTGGACTTCAACTCCCAGAATTCCCCAGCCAGCCATGCCAAGTCTTTTTTTTTAAATGCTTTATTTTTATTCATAAACATTTTGAATACAGTGTATTCTCAGGGCATAACATTTTATGAAAAAGCAAAGGAAAAACAAACAGAAGTATCAACATATATAACTGTCATGCCCCTGTTAGAATCTGACTCTGAGGGAGAGGAGGAACAGCCGACAGGGAGTGGGAGTGTGGCTCTGGAGGTTGTGGAGGAGGCTGGGGAAGGGCACAGGCCGGCTGGGCATTCACAGGAAGACCCAGGCCCATCCCCTCTCCATCCTAGGGCACACAGGGAGGAGCGGATAAGGGAGAAACGTGAATGGCGTGGTCTATGGGGGAGGAAAGGGCCTTGATCCCCTTCATGGGCTGCAGCTGTGAGGACTGTTTAAAAGGACAAACCGCACGTGGGCCACTGCTGCAAAGCATGAAAATATTTCTAGCCTGTCTGTTCTTATCTGAGGTCTGGCGTCCTTCCCAGTGTGTGCATTTCAATATCTGTGGACGTCTTCAAGCCCTTATCCTGCCTTGTCTCATTAATTCTTCAGTGTTTTTTTGTTTCTATTTATAATTTATATGTATTTTGAGTTTGAGGGGAAGTCCTTCCTTTTAGCAACTGTTTGTGGGGGAGTTTTTTCCTCCAGTCAATGATAATTGGACCTTTAAAGCCAAGTTGAAGGAATTCAAGGGACTTCACCTGTTTTTGTGACTTTGTTGCTTTTGTATCCCACCCTGGGTCATCACAATAACTGATAGCAATAATAATAGTGTAACAAAATAGTTTTAGCTAAATTTCTCTTTGTATTAGCTTATTTACGCTTCTGTTAATTATATCAACATGTTTATAATTATCAACTCTCTTTGTATTTAATTCATACATAGCAATGATTTTTCTTCACCTAATTTCTACCTCTGATCTCTAACCACTCGTAAAATCTGTTCCATGTTAAGGAATATTCTGTGTCTTCTTTGTCCTTAATGTCAATCTATCCATCTCTGCACAGTCTAGTATTTTCTGAATTACATCCTCATCTGATGGGGGGTTCTCATTTTTCCAGTATTGTGCAAATACAATCCTTGCAGCTGTCAATATACAGTCCCTTTATCATATCCTTCTGGCATCATCGCCAACAAAAATATTTCAGCCATGCTGAGTCTTAAAGTTGGCAAGTTGCCCTATTCTACCTGGTAAACCACCCAGGTAGTGTTTTCCCCTCTGAAAACAGGTTTCTGTCCGCAATCTGGGGCTCCTCCAAATGTGTTAGGCTCCAGTGTCTTATAATCTCCTAGCCAGCCTGGGCGCTGGGGATTATGGGAAGTGAAGCCTCCTCATAACAAGGTCATTTCCAAAAGGGCTTTTTGCACAAAATAGAAAATGGGGAAATTATGATATATGGATTTGATCATCGGTAATACTAATAAACTATTTTAAAAACGAACATTAGGATGTAATCTTAGAGAAAGAGTTTGATGTACGTTTCATTTACATCTGCTATAAAAGAAGTCGGAAGAATACATAGAACAAAGGGCTGGAAGGGACCTCAGAGGTCTTCTAGTCCAGCCTCCTGCTCAAGGTAGGAGACGTCATACCAGACCAGTCAAATGGTGGTCCAATCTATTTTTGAAAACTCCCAGTGATGAAACACCCACGACTTCTGGAGGTAAGCCATTCCATTCATTGTTCTCAAAAAATTTCTTCCTAGCTGTAGGTTGGATCTCTCTTTAAGAATTACTTTTTATCCTGCCCGCAGGTGCTCCTCTTTGTGAAAACCCCTTGAATATTCAAATAAAGACTTTGCAATGTCTATAACCACATGAACATCTATGAATTTGCTTTCAAAAGCCTTTAAGGGCATTTCTGTCCTTTTCAGGGTTTTTTTTTAAAGACCCTGTAATCCCTTGCATCGAGGTTGAGTCGGGGTGACTGGTCAGAGCTCAAGCGTTTACTGGCCGGATGCCCTTCCCAGCGCCTATGTGGGGTTCACAGCAGACAATTACTCATTGCGCCCAGAGAGATAAACATCGGCTGCTGCCAAGGATGGAACTCACAGCCTCCTGATGGTGAGGAGAGCGCTCCACCTATAGACCACAGTGCTGCTCCATTTCTGTCTTTCTCAGTAATGTAAAATAATTCCACCCCATCCTATTCTACTTATAAGAAAATCATCGATTCCCAAACATGGCTCTTTACCTGAGAATGTGCTGACTGAATCTTTTTTCCGTAGGTCGAAGCACTTCATGTAGCCATCCTGAGACCCGCTGAGGAGCATATAGACCTCAGTAGGGTGAAAGCACACCTTGTTCACGGTTCGCTTGTGCTCCATGAAAAGCTGGTCCTGTTTGTTCCGAGAGGGCTTGCCGAGGTTCCACGTCACCACCACCCCATTCGTGGCTGCGGTGGCCAGCAAATTCTCATCCATCTGGTGCCACACCACGTCGGCACAGCTGAAGTTCAGGGATGGTTTGCGGCCGACACGCAAGTTGAGTTTTTCCACAAACTGGTCTTCTTCGATGGAGTAGATCTTGAAAATGTTGCGCCCGGCCACTACCACCTGAGCAGCGTCCCGGCACACGCTGATGGCATTAGAAGGGGCGTCCAGGTGGCAGCACATGGTCCGTCCAGTGATCGTGTTGCCACCAAGAGCGGTGGTCACCCTAGCCATTTTCTCCATGGCGCCCTACAAATCCAAAGGTTTGCCTAAACCAGGAGCAGCTGAAACACAAAGCAACGTCGCAACGTTAAAAGCAATCTGCGACAAACTGCAACTCATTGCTAAACAAGACAGTTGTTAAAGTGAGTTTGGCCCAATTTTACAACCTTTTTTTGCCAGTTGTTAAGTGAATCACTGGAGTTGTTCAAAGAATCATGTGGTCCTTAAACAAATCTGGCTTCCCTCATTGACTTGTTGGAAGCCATCTGGGAATGTTACTAATGGTGATCACATGACCCTGGGACAGTGCAACTGTCATAAGTACATGCCAGTTGCCAAGTGTTTGAATTTTGAACAGGTGACAAGGATGCCGCTGCAATGGTCATAAGTGTGGTAACCGATCATGAGTTACTTTTTTTGGTGCTGTTGTAACTTCAAATCAAGGGTCTTCAAACTTGGTAAGTTTAAGGACTTCCGGTTTGAGCTTCTTCAGCGACAGACCGAAACCTCGTCTCTGCGAGGCTTCGATCCGTGCTCGCTGCTGGAGCGCCCCAAGCCGGCTGGTTTCAGGGCTAAGCCACCCCGTAGAGGTGGTGAAGAGGGGGGAAACTACCAGCAGGGTTGAGGAGAGCCGCATCTTTCCTCCCCAGCTGGCCATTACTCCCTTTCCCGAAGGCGGTTGCCGCAGTGGTCAGAAATGGCCACCACAAAGAAGAACTCGACCGGAAAAGAATGTGCAGGAGGAAGATAAGAAGAGAAAGTTTTGGTTGACTGGGTCAAACAGAATGTGTCAAGCAGAATTCGATTGGAAGTTATGTATTATGTATTATATTGAAGGTCATAAACTTAAGGTATATATTGAAATTTAAATAAGAGTTGAATGGATGTAATTAAAATATATAAAGGTGTCATACTCCAATTAGTAACTACAGGAGAAAAATTGTTTAATGAGAAAAGATAATATGATAATAAATAGTATAAATATAATGATTTGAATTGAGATGAGATAATCAAAATAAAATTGAGAAAATTAAAAGAGGGGAAAAACTATATAGAAAATGTAAAATAGTATAAGATATGGAATAGAATACAAAAAGGAGCATGAAATTGAGTTTTGTGTCTGTATAAAGAAGCTATTTTTAAAAAAGATGTTTTACCTGTATTTTGTGTGTGAAAACCCAAATAAAACTTTATTTAAAAAAAAAAAAACTTGACAAGTTTAAGACTTGTGGACTTCAACTCACAGAATTCCTGAGCTAACATGACTGGAGGAGGAATTCTGGGAGTTGAAGTCCACAAGTCTTAAAGCTGTCCAGTTCAAAGACCTCTGCTTCTAATGGTCATTAAACAAATGGTTTTTAGTCAAGGACCACCTGAATGTACTTCCACTCTCAACTATTTCCAAGAAATCTATGCAATGCAAAGGAATCCCTCAAACCACTGATTGCCTTTTAAAAAATGGTGTATAAAAGCAAGAATTAAGAGCAGAAAATTGCTATAGGTTGCAAAATGTGTGTGTATCTTACAAATTCGTGTGCCTGCCTAAAAAAGAAAACCATTACCAAGATTGCTACTGGCTAAAAGGCAAGGGAGAAAATAGGGGCGATTTTTCACGTGCAAATCCGTGGATCGTCCAAAACGAAAATATATTTTATTTTAAATAGCATTTAAATAAAAGAACGGGGGTTGCTATGACTCCATGCTTATGCGCATGCGTTGAGTGTCCTTTTCTATAGAAGGGCACGCGCGGGGCCGGTCTAGCAAACAAGATCTCGACGGGGTCTCCGAGGGGGAGAGTACTTCCGGCCTCGGCTTTCGAAGCAGCAACCCCCGTACTCAGTCCTAGCCACGCTTCCCTCGAGGCGACCTTCTCTCCTCCTCACCTCACGCGATGGTCTCCACCGGTCTTCCGCACCGGAGTAGGCCCGAAGCCGCCGGGCCGCCTCGCCGAGGGACAGCTGAACTCCCTCCCGGCCGACCCAAATCGGGCCAAGGCTCGCCCGCCATCTTGGATTACCCGTCAGGCCTTTCAGGGCTTAGGAAGCCGGAGGCCGTCATTTCCCGGCCGCTTCCCTTCCTCCTCCTCCCCCCTCCCCTCTGGAAACGTGACGTAGGGAGGTTGTGGAACAGGGTGGATCATACCATCGCAGAACTCGAGGCGGGGGTGGCGGCATTTCCTGAGTTTGCGTTGGATTGATCCGTAGAAAGATTCCAGTAGAAAGCTAGCCGTGCAGTACCAGTTGTCAGAAACGTCTGACAAGAAATTATCTGTCTGACTATCTGTTTATCCATCCATCTAATCTATTTTATCTATCTTATCTAATCTATCCATCTCAGGCTTGTGACTCTGGGCAGCACCTATAATATAATTGCCCAATGATAATTATTCAATTATAAAAAAAATTTTTGTGTATATGTACAAATATATATACACATAATATACAAATGCATTTAAATATGATTGCTCATTATGCTTGGGGCATATTTATCCAATGCAGCTCAATTTGATTTTATTGAATCAATTATGGGTGATCAATCATAAGCAACCCAGTCTTCTATATTCTGACAATGCCAGGGTGAACCACGTGCAACGTTTGTAATACTGGCTTGCTTAATGTTTGTGGTATCACAACTCTATCCCCCCGATAACAAACACCCCTTTAACGCCGACAGTTCAAGTTGATGTGTCTTAAACGGTTTGAAATCACTTCCCATTTACCCCTCTGGCCACCTCCTCCACACTCAGTTCAAAATTCAGGCCAAAGTTTTGTCTTTGGCTGAATGTCTTGCGATCTTAGCCAACATGACAGGGCCAGTTTCAAAGTCCTCGATAAGAAGTGTGATTGGGGTAGGTTCTTCAACGGATTCTGGGAGTGGGCACTGGCTGAGGTCATCTGTGTGGTCGATAGCTTTGCCCGGCTGATGGACCAGCTGGTACTTATAGGCTGCCAGGAAAACTATCCATCTTGTCATTCGTGGAGACAGTATGGCTGGGGTTGGGCAGCCCCCCCCCCGCTATGATTTCTAAGAGAGGTTTGTGGTCAGTGATCAGGTCAAAGTCCCTTCCGTATAGGTACTCATGGAACTACTTTACCCCCCACCACTGCAGCCAGCGCTTCCTTGTCCAGTTGGCTGTAGGTCTGTTTGGCTTTAGATAAAGTTTTTGAATAAAAGGCAATTGGCGCCTCATTGCCATTTGGCACCCAGTGACTGAGAACAGCTTCTAGGCCAAATGGGAAGGCGTCACAGGTTAATATAAGTCTCATTGTATCACACAAGAACGCTTTGAGAGGTTAAGAGTTCTTTTATAGCCTCGAATGCAGATGCTTCTTTGTGACCCCAGGTCCAGTTCGCCTTTTTATTGAGTGTGTAGCGGTTCAGCAACGGTCGCCTTCTGTGGCAGAAAAATACTGCAAAAGTTTAAAAGGCCTAGGAATGCCTGGAGGTCTGTTTGATTCTTTGGGGTAGGGGTTTCTTTAATAGCTTTGAGTTTCCTCTTGGTAGGGTGAATGCCTGACCTGTCAATTAAATACCCCAGAAATTCGACTTGAGGGACTGCTATTTGGCATTTTTCTTTTTTAACTTTAAGTCTGGCTTTCTGAAACTGACTCAGGACTATTCTTAATCAGTGAATTAATTGTTCTCTGTTGTTTGTGGACATGAAGACATCATCAAAGTAAGGCACCACCCCTGGAATTCCCTGTAGGTGTTCTATTAGGCTTTGGAACAGTCCTGATGCCACGCTCACCCCGAATAGCAATCTATGGCATTTAAATGCCCCTCTGTGAGTTACGATGGTCTGTGCCTCTGCAGTGGTATCATCCACTGGCAATTGTTGATATGCCTGGGCTAGGTCAAGTTTTGCAAAAGTTTTGCTTTTTCCAAGGGGATGCAACAAATGCTGTACGACTGACACGGGATAGGCGCTCTGTTGCAATGCCTTATTTATCATGCATTTATACTCCGCGCAGATGCAGTTTGAGATTTTTGAAACTTCTAAACCCAAGTTTTCATACCCCCTGGAATATCATCTTGCACCCCCCCCCCAGGTAGGGAACCCCTGTTCTAAGGTGAATTAGAAACCTCTGTTGGAAAAACAATTGTCATATATAATGTGCAATTAAATACACACATACCACAGAGGCATAAAAAGAATCCCAGCACCAGACGGTTTGTGTTTTTAATTTTTTTAATATATATTTTTATAAACAGATCACATGATAAAATAGCACAAGAAACACTTACCAAATATAAGATTATATCTTCAGAATATACAGGAGAAGGAGGCTTGTATGTACAATAAGAAAATGGTTTTCAGAATTCCCCCCTCCCTTTTTTTTCTTTTCTAAATAGCAATCTGAAATATCACAGCTTCTTTCAGTAGCTTTAAATAATACTTTGGACCAGCGGACACTTTAAACAGGGGTGCTGAAGAGACTTCTGGAACACAATTCTCGAGAAAGGTCTCTTGTGCAAAATGGGTGAAAATGGGCAGATCCTGTTTCGGCCAGGAGAACTTGCCCAGAGAAAGATAAAATAAAAATGAAAATAACCCCAAGGGATTGTGTGCCCTGTCTTTGGACCAAGATCTTGGTGGAACTCTTGCAGAAAATGGAGTTCACTCCCTAGAACTGTGTGCATTCTTCGTTTTAGAAAATCGGTGACTTTAAGTCAACTTCTCTTCCTTTAATACAGAACAACAGAGTTGGAAAAGAGCTTGGAGGTCTCCTGCTCAATTTCTTCTTGAAAACCTCCAGTGATGGAGCATCTATAACTTCTAGAGGCAACCACTGGTTAATTGTCCTCAGTGCCAAGAAATTTCTCCTTAACTGGATCTCTTGTTTGATAAATTTCCATCCTCCCAACAGCTTCCCCGGGTGACATTTCTATGAAAACCATTTCCTGATCCCATTTCATATAGGCACAAGTTTATCTCAGCAGCATACCCTAATTTCTTTTCGCAAGAGTTTTTCCTCTAGACATTTGGGGAATAATATTTTTTTAAACCGCTGCTGAGCCTGGAATAAAGTTTAAAACTCTCGCACAAGTAAACCAGCCATTGTAATATCCTCACTGCCACAGTTGCTATTCGTGTAGCTGGCTGATCAGGTGGGCTGCAAATAGGTAACACCCTAAAGGTGAGTAAGCAGCAACACCGATATATTATTCCCCCGGGTGTAAGACTGCATCCTTTACCTGGGGTATCCAGTCCATCAAGTAAAATAAGTGTAAATTGCTGGCTGGCATGCCATACAATACAAGAATCGACCTTGTAAGGGAGATGGGCGACATCAAAACTTAATAAATAAATATTAATAAAGAAAAGCAGGTAAAACCATTTGCCTTGGATTACTTACTGAAATCCCAACCTTAATAGAGGTAGTCCTCAACTTACAACAGTTCATTTAGCCACTGTTCAAAGTTACAACTGCCCTAAAAAAAGCGACTTATGTCTGTTTTCACATTTAGGACCATTGTAGCATCCCTGCGGTCACATGATTAAAATCCAGATGCTTGGCAACTGGCTCATATTTATGACGGTCGCAGTGTCCTGGGGTCATGTGATCCCCTTTTGCGACCTACTGATAGGCAAAGTCTTGGGGGAAGCCAAATTCACTTAACAACTGCCTTACTAACTTAACAACTGCAATGGTTCACTTTACAACCGAGGCAAGAAAGGCCGTAAAATTGGGCGAAACTCCCTTAACAAATGTTTCACTTACCAACAGAAATGTTGGGCTCAATTGTGGTCGTAAGTCGAGGACTACCTGTATCTGGCTTTATACAATATGTTAAGACATCTCCCTTGGATCCATTCTGCAGCTGGACTTTAACAGGAGAGCACTTTTGAGTCTCGGACAGTCCAAATTCGAAGGCCGTTGCAATCCTTTGGAAAGCACGGCCGCCTTTGAAAAGAAGTTGAGACCAGGCCAAAATATGGGAAGCAGATCCAGGGATGCTCACAATAGGATATCTGAAAATGGAAATCTTTGGCCTTTCTCGCCATGACTGCATGATATTTTTGTACAGAGATGCAGAGGGTTGAACTTAAAGAGATTCAGAACACTGGCAGAAACTGTGCCGAGAACCGCAATCCTTTCCTCTTGCAATAAGTTGAAAAACCCCCCACAAAAGTGCATCTTTAATATCATTGTAGAAAGAGCTCAGTGGGTTGAGTGCCAGCTTCAGAACTTCGTTAATTTGGCAATATTGAGTATGTCTCAATATCAAAGTTTTTGCAACTCGGCCACTTTAAGAGGCATGAACTTCAACTCCCAGGATTTCTCAGCCCACATGTCAGTTGGGGAATTCTGGGAATTGAAGTGCATGTCTCTCAAAGAGGCTGAGTTGCAAAAACCTTGTGCGGTTTCTAAGAGGAGATGCTACCTTGACGATATATAATTTTTTAAAAAAATATATTGGGAAATTTTTATAGGGCTAGCTGCTCCTATCTCATAAGAGGTCAGGACTGTGCAGTCTGATCAATCTGAAAGTTAATTAGATTCTTACATAACTATATACATAATGTCATCAATAACATGCTGTTAATATTCACGGAAGATGAGAGGGCATATCTTTTTGGCCAGCTGAATAGAAACAAAACCTGACCCAAGAACATCTGGAGTCCCATCTCAATGCTCATAACCACCCCACTCCTGTGCTCTCATTGTAACCCTAAGCTAAAATATCCCGTTATTGTTGATCCAGAAAAAAGTGCCATTGGACATAACAACAATATATTCTGTAAGCCGCCTAGAGTCGCCATGTGTGAATAGGCAGCAATATAAATTCCCTAAATAAAATAAAAATAAACAAGCAGCAAATTTTTACTGCTTAGAAGTGGTCCTGCCTGGATTTGACTCTACTCCTACTCCTTCCGGTAATAAAATATTGACTCCAGCAAGAGAGAGAGCAATTCCCACAAAATTCTGGTCCAAAACAAGTAAGCAAATACCTCAATAAATAAATAACTACAAATAAATAAATAAATAAATATTTTGGGGTGGATTTTTTGCTAG